CAAGCTCCTCACATAAGCAGAGATACACACTCCAGAAAAGAAAACAAAAAACGGAGGCAAATTCAAGTCCATGTTTTTTTTCTTATTGCTAATTTTTAAGGGTTCACTTTCGTCTCATTATTTTTCCGGCCCTGCTGCAACTGTGGCGGGTGGCACGCGGCGACCCACGACAGCGCACCGCCTCCGCGCGACTCCCATCTCCAATGTGCATGGCACACCGTCGTTAAAAGCAAATATCCCCGTAAGAATAGCACACCATCCAACCCACTTCCCACCATAAGGGATAAAAAGTAAATAAAATATATGCACCCGAATAAAATTTCACCAAAACAGTCTGTGCTGTTTACGATGCAGTTCCACCTGCTCCATATTGTACATGCAGGAAGCATCCACAGTGATTGCATTTAACGGGAACCAAGCTGCATCGGTGAAGAGGGCCACACCATGCAAGACAACGGCCGTGTGGTCAATCCAAAAAAACTCTGGTTGTCTCCCGCTTGCTGTGGAAGGCGGAAGAATCAACTCACGCATGCGACTCTTTACTTCTCTTCCTTGGCAGCCGAGGGACGCTGTGACGTCACGTTGTGAAGAGGCTTGGGGTGGGCGTGTCTCAAGCAGCATGCAGTTGACGCACGCAAAAAGCTTTTCCATCCATGGAAATGAGGATTTTGAAGGAGATATTGCGCTCCACTGGCCTTCAGTGTATATCCAGTGCTGCCCACTGGAGACGCCGCGTACTGGGAGAGGCCGCCGCATGAAGAAGAAGAACAAATCGGTTTCCTCCACAAAGGCGGCATTCACGACAATAGGAATGGATTCCATTCTCTCCGTGGACGGTGGGCAAAAAGGTATTTCATTCACCGAGCGCAACTGCAAACCCTCCTCTTTACGTTGCTTCTCTGTGATCCAGAGAGGGGAGTTGAACTTCATCTGGCGCCCAAAGCGCATCAGCTGTGTCTCGAGCCTCTGTGAATAGCGTTCGCCCGTGATGAAGGAGCGTGGGGTAGATTGAGCCAGAGATGAACTGTGCGCCGACGAGATGCCACGAATTGACGGCTCCACAACTGTCAATGAAGTCAAAGGCTGTTTGAAGAACCCTTGCCGCATCCTGCCGAGGGAACAACCCTCATCTACCCCTAAATGAGAAGCAAGGCGTGGAAGAAAAAGAAGAAATCGGGGGCGTGGCGGGTCACATCACACACGCACACACATGCTCACCATAGGACGTATAAACACATCCCCAAGGGATGCAAAAGAAGCGGGGTGCGGGTAGAGGCGCGACTGAAACTAGCCGTGTGTGTGTGTCTGTGGCAAAAGCAACAAATACAACGACAAGAAAACGTAAGCGCGCAGAGAAAAAAAGCAAATAAAAAAAACCGCACGTCAGAAAACTATAGAGGGGAAGTAAGCAATTTGTGGTTGTTTCTTTGATGTGCGTATGCTCTCATTCTACATCTAATCAGCAGAATCCACCTGGTTCAGCTTCCTTTCAACGCTGCGGCCAATGTGAGATGATTCTTCTTCACTGGCATGCTTAGCGCCTGACAGAAATACCACAAACAAAAGAAACAACAAGAACAACAAGAGGGACAATGTAACTGGTTCTATGTAGATACATATTGCCAGACACATGATGAAGTTTCCATCCTCCTCCTCTTTTTTGTTTTTGTCGTTCCCTGTGATCTCTTAAGGGTAGATTGCCTTCTTTTCAAGTGTAGAGAGCACCTCTTGGATACTAATGGTTGCCTCATGCAGGCTTACCTCACAGATTTCCAACAATTCATGAAGCTGCCCCTGAGTACTTGTCATATCACTTTCATCATCAGAGGGGGTGTCAGTCATGTGAGCCGCAAAGGTTGGGACTGAAGCGAAAGTATACCCACGAACAGCTGGAGTGCGTATGCCACGTGCCGCAACTGCCGCAGCCACAGCACCTTGAGAGGGGGTCTTATAGTAAGAGTAGCTGTTATCCGCCACGGCGGTCGAGGCGAGTGGAAGGGAAAACTCAGACAGACCCAAGGTAGGGCTCTTCGGCCACTTCTGCGGTAAAAAGCTTGATCCGACAGAGCTTGGAAGCGGCGCTGGTGCAAATCTCGGCGTTGGAAACGAGCGACCACTGCCCACAGACTCTGAACAGGGCACCAACGCGCTTCCCACACGTGGGTCAGCGGTGAATTCCCCCTTTACGGTTGTCACCACATTACTCACCGTTACAGGATCTTCCTCGCGCTTGAGAGAGGCACGCCAGAGACGGTTGTAGGTCACGCTAACGCTCACCAGCCCCTCCACTGCCCATACCTTTCTTACACAGCTGTCTTTTTCCAGGTGTGGGAGTTCGTCCACGTCCACCACCAGACGTAGGACTATATCGCTGGCATCAATATATGCGATATCCACAAATAATTCGTGAATGCGCAGGTGCGCAAAAATGACACGTATCAATATTCTTAGCGAATTCTCCTGCTGCTCTGTTATCACAAGTCCCTGAGACACAGCTGCGGCGGAGGGTGTTTTGGAGTTGGGCGACATCACACTCGGTACCCTGTAGTCTTGGAAACGCCAAATCTCCGCCACAGCACCCTTGACGGAAACCACAAGCGCTACTTGCGACGCCATCCCCTTCTTGGCGCGATGTGCCTGCAGGATTTCTTCATCTGCAAAGCATGGGCCCAGGTCAAGCATTTGTAAATCCCCAAAGGTGAATACTTCGCAGCCCTTCAGCGGAGTCCTGCCATTGCGCACAAGGCGAAGGAATTTTGGAATGAGTGTGTCGTCCATACCCTTTGACCTACGCGGCTTCCTCTGTTTGCCTTTTCTTCCTTGGGTTTCTCGTTCGAAATTCCAATCCCTTGTTTGCCTCTACTGCTTCTAGTACTGTGTGCGCTCAAGCACCTGTGTGGGTTGGTGCAATATGTTACGGCACAAGTATGAGCAAAAGAACAGGGTCATGAGGAGGTTCGCATTGAACAGAAAAAAAAACTCACACAAAAAGTAAAAATGACGCACCGAAAGCGTTTTGTTCTTTTTCTTTAAAATCCATTTTTAAATGTTACTTGTGTTGTATGTTGTGTGCCATGTGTGCTCTTCTTAAAAAGGAACACTTTTTTTAAAAAAAACCAACTTATTATCAAAGTTGAACCCCCTTTTCCTTTGACGCAGCTTCCCTTCCTTGCTGGGCCCTTGGGAAGATGGTTTGTTTTCCTCACCTGCCGTTGGGTATTATCACGCAAAACAACAACAACAACAACAAAGAAAGAAAGACGTCAAGGTGGAGGTATGGGGCAGGCGCCGCGCGTCACACACACACACACACACACACACACTTACTCGCCCCATCCGTCCTTCTTGCGTCGCACGTGCCTCAGAAGCAGAACACTCTCACTAGCTGATTCCCTTTGCCTGCCTGCCTTCTGCCTGTTTCTTTGCCATCTCCGCAATAGTGGGCACCATGGGGTAGTCCGGATCTTCTTCTTGCTGCGCCAGCAGGTCACCTCCCACAACGACGGAGGAAATGAAGGCATCACCGCAGAGCACCGGGATGAGTTCGCGGTCGTCAGACGACAGCACGCGAGGAAGGGCATGGAGCGGGTGTTCCCTTAGATGCTCCTCCAGCGAGGATGCGGCTATACTACAACGACATGCCTCCACATCGGCTGATTCATCGCGGTAATTAAAAGGGCAAATGCCCTGCGCGACACACTTTCGGATGATATTGACAATTCTAATGAGATCGTACACCTCATGCACACCCGCGTGAGCTTGCACCGCGGCACGAAAGTCAAATCCGTGGGCATCAATCATATGACGCAGGCAGTCTTCTGACTCTGTTTCGCACAACAGGCATACCGCAGGTTCAATACCCCAGTCCTCGCCACCATCATCCTCGTCCTCATCCTCAGCAGCGTTGTTCCCACCTGCATTTTCTGCTTCATCCTCATCTTCATCCCCATCCCCGTCTTCTTCCTTGACGTTGTCACCTGTGATACAGAAGGGTGCCAGTGTGGGGATTGTGCCGGTATCCCATCGGCTGTGACCCTCCTCGGCTATGTGCGCCATCAACGAGGCCTCCTCGCCGCAGGCCGCGCGACACACCGGGCAGTGCATCCTTTCATCGTCGCGAAGGAACAGCAGCCCGCGCAAGTGCGCGAGAAATCCGTCGAGGTCTACAATATTGTCATGGTTTGTGGGATGAATGCCATGGGCGTCGGCATAGTGCTGCATGGCACTCTGCTGCCCCCGCACTCGCTGCCTGCACAGAATGCAGGACAGCTCAAGAGTGAGGCCACGCTGGTGACGTGCCAAGATTGCCTTGCAGGAGGCCCGCAGCGTCGTTAGGTCCGACATGGGACCAACTCGTTCGGGCCTCTTCAATCCGCTTCCCTTTTTCATTGTGAAACAGCAAGCGCACCGGCGTGAAGAAAAGCTTAAGCGGATCGAGTTGGGCGATACACTTTTACAAGGCACGGAGAGGATAACCGTACACAGATACACGTAGATGCACGCGTACAGAAAAGGAAAGAGGAGGGAGCAGAAAAAGTGTCCGTCTCTTGCGGCGGCCTCATTAGAAAAACGGGGACAAAAAGCCAACAACAATAACAGAAGAAAAAATGGATGCCGCAGGAAGCAGAAAAGTGAAAAAAATACATCACTAAATCCACCCTTGTTTGTGCTTACGCAGTAATAAACTATAAAACACTTGTAGTATTTGGCATCCAGTAATATGGAACATGGCTGTATGACGTCTTTTTCCCCCTGGGAATGTCCAGGAGTTCTAGCCCTATGGAAATAAACATACAAAGTTGATATCTACAAGAGGCATCCATACATAATCCCCAACGCTTTCGTCCTCCACACGAAGACAATCCTCCGCTGGTTAAAAAGGAAATGCCTTTGTTTTTCCTTTTTATTTCTCGTCCCCTGAGCGAGAACGGGCGGACAATTGCGCCATGTCGATGAGGCGCGTCCTGCAGAGTAAAAAAAAGGAAAACCGCATGAGAGAGTGAAGTACGTGTAGCAACTCGAACGAGAACGCATACAAACAAAAAGGAAATTGCTCAAACTACTCATCCATCAAGGGAGACGTAGCACATGGCTCTAAACCTATGTACGCAACAGGTATGAACAGGAGTTAGACACACACACGCACACATACAAAACATATATATGCTCTCTCCCTCTTTGGTTCTATTATATCTCAACTATTCTCATCCTCAGCATTGAAAAACTGGGGGGTGGTGGTGGGTGGGGGGTCAATCCATCGTTGGTCTTTGCATGGGACTGATGCTACGCTCTAGCTGTCGCGTCTCTTCCCTCAGGCTACGCCGCATCTCGTCAAGGGGAAGCCGCATTTGATACTCAATCTTCTCTCGCTCCTCACGCAGGATGCTCCTCCTACTGTCGCTGCGGCTACGGGTGCTTAATTCCCTCGGTTGTCGAATCGGAGGCGAGGCAGAATACGAGTGGATACTCTGCTTCAAGAGCGACGTTTGACCACCTTTCAGTAGGTCGCGGTTGTCGCCTCGCTTCGGAGTTGAAAACAACGCTAGTCGCGACCTATCATTCGTGCCATTATTCTTCACCTCATAGTAGTGGTTGCTGTGGGGGTTTCCACTGCCATTGCCAGGCATCAATGACTTCTTTTGACTACCAGGCCACTTTGGCAACCATCGCGGAGTTTCTATCGTGGCCGCGGGACGCGGTTCATAATGTGAGGGCGCCACGGCGTGCGGCGAGGCGGATGCTTCACGTGGCGGCGAGACGTAGCCTTCGCCAAGCAGTGGGGCACCCTCGAACGGCTCAGGTATTTCCGCCGGCATATCAAGAATGTCAGGCTGGAAGAGGTACACCTGGCTGTTGTGCAGCAGCTGCGTGGAGCGTTCTAGGCGATCCCACGTGTTGTGTACATCGTTGAATACAACAGCCGCACTCACGGCAAATGTGCGGGGCACTGAGCGAAGACGAAATACATTGTTAAACGCAACGAGGGAGCGATTGAGAAGCTGCGCCAACGATGGGCCGTAGGAGTCAAAGAGAAACCGCAGGTTAACTTTTTCCCCCTCGCAATCCGTGGCCACGCAGATGGAGTACTGCATCCCGTCCCTACAGAAGAGACCTCCTTCTCTCGTCTAAGAAACACGCACGCCAAAGAAAAAAAAGAAAAACAACAAAAGTACCTTACTTCTTGTTGTGCCGTCACCACCAACCGCAACAGCAGCAGCAGCAGCCGCTGTTGCACGACTTTCGAAGCTGCAATTTCGCAAGCAGTGAATAGGAGGCCGGCGTTTGTCAATGCCGTGTCTCCCACCTTCCCACTCTCTCTATTTTGCTCATGCAAAAAGGTGAGGGTAGAGAAAACGTGGATAAGAACAGCAGAAATAACTGAAGAAGATGCGGAAGAAGCGGAATAAAAAGGAGTTAAACGGCACAACTAGAGTAAAATACAAGCGAAAATGGTGGTGACAAGATATGGAAGCTTCTGGCATATATATATATATATATATGTATCTGTGTGTGTGTATTACGCCGCACATTTGATCGCAAGAAGGCCAGCGAGGAGGCAAAGACTACCTGTTCCAAGGAGCAAGCAATCAAGGGAGAGGTCTATCGTACTGGGGAGGCGGCGACGAGGCCTCCCTTTTACGTCAAGAGGCTACACCCTCGTCCTCCTGCAGCGTGGACTCGTCAATGGTGATTTCCTCCTCCAACAGGTTTCGGATGCGCCGCAGCGCACACTCCACACGGGTGGAGTCCGTTTCTGAGGGGGAAATGTGAAGCAACTCCGCCGCAATCGCTTTTCGGCGCGCCTCCATCACACCAACGCGTGCAGACAAAAAACTCACCATGCGGTGTTCTTCGTGAACTTCCTCAAGGTGCTCCTCTGTCAGTTCCTCCGTTGCCATCTCTCTGGCGTCCGAAGACATGCTCAAAGAAGACATCAATAGTCGACGTATACTACTTCTTTTAAACTTTTCGATCTCCTGCCGTTTTGCAATCAATTCCAATTCCCACTGCTGGCGTTTAAAATAACTGACAGCGTCTTTTAGCTCATCTGCAGCAGCTTGTTGCTCCTTGTAGGCAATCTGGTACACCGCCAGCTCTACCTCGTTAGAGCGTTTCTTTTCTTCGAGCTCCTTGCGGCTTCTGTAGGCACGTTCGCGTACCTCGCCTACGGCACCTGCGATGATCGCCAACTCCTCGCGTCGACAGAGCGCAAACAGTTCCTCCAGCTCTCGCTGAGCCTCATTGAAAACCTCCGTTCGTCCTGCTCCTTCCTCTTGTAGCGTGGCTTTCTGCCACCGCTCGCTTTTGACTGCCATAAGTTCCGTGCGTACGGCTTCGTACTTGCACCTAAGGCTCTGAACGTGCTTTGCCATCTCTTCGCAGCGGAAGCGGTCCTCCTCCAGTTGATCCTCCATCTCGTTTGTCTCCCTCGCGAGAGCCGCCAGCTTCTCGCGCTCCTCCTCAAGTGAAGACTCGGATTCCCGCACCCACTTGAGATCGTCCGTGCTCAAAACCACCAGAGGCTGCGCGGCATCGCCGCTGAGTGCAGCGCCGTTGAGCGCCTCATGGCTATTTGCCCCACCTGCGAACGCAGACGTGGTCACTTCAGCAGCTGCAGCAGAGGGCGTCAGAGAATTTTCTTCCAAGAGTAATTCCCCTTGGGCCTCTGCAGAATCGCTGTAGCGGCTGTCAGTAATGGGGACTGCGCTTGGCGTGCCTGCAGAAGGGACCTCTTCCATCGCGAGGAACTTGGGCGGGGACGACCGCACCAGTTGCGTCTCAAGTTCGTTCAATCTCTGCTGTTCCTCGCGCAGACTGCCTCGCACCTCGAGCAACTCGCGATAGGCGTCACTCAGCGCAGGTATCAGTGAACTCTTCTCCCTCACTTCATTTCTGGACTTATCGGAAAAAGAAAACAGTGCGTACTTGGCGGAGCCGAGGTCTGACACGATGGAGGGAATGTTTGCGAGGAACACCTCCGCTGCGAAGAGAAGACGAGCCTCGTTCACTGCGGGCCTCGTTGGGCCACTCGCCATGACGCGATCCTGCTTTGCCGGGGCAGAAATATATACTTGTGTGTGTGTGTGTGTGCCTGCGTGCTATGGCTCTCTCCCTCGTCCACTTACACGGTTCTTCTGAAGGGCTCACGTGCGGCCTTCATCTTTTTGTTTTTGTTTTGTTGTCACACAGCCGCAGAGCGGAAGAGAAGGAACACCCCAAACCAACTGCGATGAAGATAAACACAGACACACAAGTGGTCCTTTTCTCAAGAACAGCAGAAACCACAAACAAGCAAACACGCGGCACATGTATGTGGAGGCTTTCCTCACAGTCCAGTTCCATGTTGTTAACGTCGTCGGGGTGGTTTCTGGAAGGGCTCGTCATCAAAGGGCCAAGGCACCCATGGCTCTCCCCAAGAGCTGCTGCAGCGCCTCAAGGGCTGAACAGCTTCCATCTGCCATGGTCTCTACGGCCGCTCCTTCCGTTTCTTCCACGATATCACGCAGAAGCCACTCACGTGGATCCGCGAAATACGCCATGCGCTCCCCAGTGACAGGATGCAGGAACGACAGCGCAGCAGCGTGCAAAAGATGCCGCCTCACTCGCAAACGTGGCGCTGCTGCGCTCACTAAGCTCTCACTTCCCCTCGCTCTCGCAAGGTACGTGTCATCTGCAACAGCGCATCCGCCGCCCACCACACCTGGCGTAGTGGTCTCGTACAATTTGTCGCCAAGCACTGGGTAGCCTAGCTGGGCGCAGTGTAGTCGTATTTGATGTGTTCTTCCTGTCAGAATATCCACACGCGCAACAGAGACGCCAAGTTTCTTGTCACTGCCCAGAATACGAATCCGAGAGATTGCTGGACGTCCGAGCTGCCGGGGATTTTCCCTCAAATTCGCAGGATAACATGTCATCTTCAATTTCTTCAATTTCGTATGCTGCTTCACACCCTCCGTCGTTCCTTCTTTGGGCAGGCTGTCAAAGAGAAGGCCAATGCGGTCGCACATGACAAAGGCAGCCCCTTCAGGAGCTGCACCAGCCAAGACGGCGATATAAGATTTGTTGACATATTTCCCATCCGACACAAACGTCTCAAACTCCTCGGCGCTCAACTTGTATCCAGGCGGCTCACTCCATCGTGCCACTTCTGCCGCGAGCCGTTCAGACTGTTGCTCAAACTGTGTGGAGAGGCCTCTTGCCGCCGCCGCCTGCTTCGCCAATACGACCAAGCCAGATGTCTCCTTGTCCAGACGGTGGACGGGATGGTACGACGCGGGCATTTTATTCGCTGCGATCCCCGCATCCCCATTCTCCACTTCCGCCCGATCCCTTTTTTTACCGGCGGATGCATCATCCTCGAACACGACGGATTCCGCGCTGCGTCGCTGAAGCAGACCTACCAGCGTGTTGCCAGAGTAGCGCCCCCCCTCCGCCACCGGCAGATTGCCATTCTTGACGCACACGAGGACCGCGTCGTCGTCGTGCACAACGTAAATGTATTCGTCGACGCTTGGCTCAAGCTCCCGTGGTGGGTCAAAATTGATCTCGTCATTTTGGCGCAGCACGTAGTCCCCGGACGTTGCTACTGTGCTACTATCGATGGGGCTACAAACCCGCAAGTGCCCCGCTGCCAGGTGCCGCTCCCACTCGCCGCGTGAGAGGTAAGAGAAGCGGATGCACAGAAAGTCCAGCAGCGTCTCCGGCGGGGCAGTCTTTGGGCGACTGTACCGAATCCGGCGGCCCATTTTCCCACGCCCCGCCAGCCACTAATGAGACACACAGGAGGTCGTACATTGCAGTATGAGATGGGGAGAGAGAGAGAGAGAGAGAGAGAGAGAGAGAGATACAAGGCACACA